GTTGCACCATGTCCTTGAGGACAAGGATATGGGGATCATTATACCGGCGAGCCTTAATGTGCTTAAATAAGTATTAATGTGATACAAACCAAGCAAGAACCCTGCTAGGCTCCGAAATATCCAACCTCACCAACCTATTGGCCAATGCTTGAACGTCCATAGATAAAGGTCTTTCCACATGTGGGTTGAATGCCAAACTTTCCATACTCTCCACCTTTCTACTCAAGGCATCCGCCACCATATTAGCCTTCCTCGGATGATAAAGAATAGTGATATCATAATCCTTCAATAGCTCCAACCATCTCAGCTACCTCAAATTCAAATCTTTTGATTTAAACAGATGCTAGAGACTTTGATGATCAGTATACACCTCACAAGACACGCCATATAAGTAATGCCTCCAAATCTTGAGCGCGTGTACAATAGATACTAACTCTAAATCAAGCACCGGATAGTTCTTCTCATGGGGCTTCAACTGGCCCGACGCATAGGCGATCACCCTATCATCCTGCATCAACACACACCCAAAGACAACCTACGAAGCATCATAATAAAAAGTATACAACCCAAATCCTAGAAAAGTTAGCGCTTGCACTAATAAGCACCTCGAGGAAATTAAGGCCGTATTTCCAATGTCATCCCATATGCGTATTGTCTACTTACCCGCTTCGTAATATTTNGAAGGCAATACCAAAATTGAAGCCGTAGTCAAAGCAGTCTTGTGCTTCTGAAAGATTTTCTCACACTCATTAGACCATCTAAACGAAGTGCCCTCCTGAGTCAACTTAGTCAATGAGGCTGCAATAGATGAAAATCCCCTTACAAAGCGACGGTAGTAACTAGCCAAACCTAAGAAGCTCCTGATCTCTATAGAGGTAGAAGGTCTGGGTCAACTCTAAACTACCTCAATCTTCTTTGGGTCCACCTTGATCCCATCACTAGATACCATATAACCGAAGAACACCACCGAGCCCAACCAAATCTCGCACTTGAAGAACTTAGCATACTACTTCTCTCTCAAAATTTGAAGCACAATCCTCAAATGTTGCTCGAGCTCCTCAGCGCAATAGGAATACACCAAGATATCATCAATGAACACAATGACAAAAGAATCCAAATACGGTTGGAACACATTGTTCATCAAGTGCATGAAATCTAATGGGGCATTAGTCAATCCAAACGATATCACCAAAAACTCATAATGGCCATAACGAGTCCTGAAAGCCGTCTTAGGGATGTCTGAAGCCCTAATATTCAACTGGTGATACCCCTCCCCGATCTCAAGTCAATCTTTGAGAACACCCTAGCCCTTGAAGCTGATCAAATAATTCATCCATGTGTGTTAGTGGATACTTGTTCTTGATGGTAACCTTGTTCAACTGCTAGTAGTCAATACACATTCTCACAGAATCATCCTTTTTATTTACAAATAACACTGATGCACCCCAAGGTAATACAATAGGCCTGATGAACGCCTTATCTAGCAACTTCTGCAATTGTTCCTTCAATTTTTTCAACTCCACTAGAGCCATGCAATATAGAGGAATAGATATGGGATGCGTGACCAACACCAAATCAAATACCAAAATCAATATTCTTATCAGATGGCATGCCCGATAGATCTGCAGGGAACATATCCGGAAACTCCCTCACTACTTAATCAATAGTATGAGTATCAAACTAAAATCTCGAAAAAAAGCCAGAGATGCCAAACACCTCTTCGTAAACATCTATTGATCCTTCAGAAACAAAATCACTCTACTAAGAGTGTGACTAAGACAACCTCTCCATTCCAACCTCGGCAAACCTAGCATAGCCAACATCACCGTCTTAGCGTGACAATCAAGAATAGTATGGAATGAAGACAACCAATCCATACCCAAGATCACATCAAAATCCACCATATCCAACAAAAGAAAGTCGACCCTCGTCCTAAAACCACACATAGTGACCACGCAAGATCTATAAACTCGATCCACCAAAATAGAATCCCAACTGGTGTAGATACATGAACTGGGATAGTAAGTGAATCACGTGGCATATCTAGACAAGAAGCAAAGTATGATGACATATATGAATAAGTAGAGTCAAGATCAATCAACACTGAAGCATCTCTATGGCACACATAAACAATACCTATAATTATTGCATCAGAAGTAAACATGCTTTCAATGGGAAACTATAGACTCTGGCCTCGGTCCTTCCTTGGAATGCATAACATCTAGCGTGATTTCCACTAGACTGAGCTCCCTCTCTAGGACGACCATATCCTATATGACCTCCACCACATGCAAGCTGAGCGTGTGGTGAAGCAATCGGCGTAGGAATCATAGTTTGAACCTCGTGATGCCCTGAACCTATGCGAAGACGGGGGAAGTATTTCCTAGACCTAGGTCTCCACACTCATAGCAACCTCTGATCGATGACTGCGGGGCCTGAGTTAGACCCCATGAACCATAATACCAACCAAAAGAAACTGGTATTAATAAACCTTGAATGCCTGGAGCGCTATGAGAACTCTGCGCTGGAAGTGCACTGAATGAAGACTTTATAGAAGCTCCTCGACTAGGAGATGGTGTATAATAATTTGGCCTGCTAGAATGGCCTCTCCTAAATCAACCCCAGCCTCCAGACGAGGAAACACCGAAGCTACCTGAATGTCGGGACCTCTTATCCCTACCCTGCACCATCTCCATAGTCTCACTGCGGATGCGCTCAACTTGACGCGCTATCTCACTGCGGATGCACTCAACACGACACGCTATCTCCACAACCTAGTGAAATAAAGTCTGGTCTCAACTTCTCTAGCCATAGCAAGACGAATACTAGGGAGACGACCATAGATGAATCTTCTCAATCTCTCATCCTTAGAGGGAATAAAAACCATAATATGACAGGACAACTCAGTAAACTTCATCTCATACTCGGTAACTGATATCTGACCTTGATGAAGTTGCTCAAACAACCTCCTCAGTTCCTCTCTTCTGGTGTGGGCACAGACTGCTCCAAAAAGACCCTGGAGAACTGAGCCCAGGTAAGAGGAGATGATGTTGTTGGTCTGCCCAGCTTATAAACCTACCACCACCTATTTGCTGGAGCTTGCATCTGGAAGGCGGTAAAGTCAACTCCATTCGATCTTCCTTGCATACGCTACCTTCGGGATCAGCGCCCAAATTTGTATTTAGGGAGATATATGAACTGACGTCGATAGGGTTTGCAATCGGTACTCCCTCGAGATCAGCCTGAGGCACCTCGATTTTTGGGGCGACTATATTGTCGTTTTCCCCGTGAAATCCGAAACCGTTGTTACCGTGTGTGGGTGTTGTATGTGAGTTTGACATATTTTTTCCTGAAAACAAAAATACTTACAAGAACAAGCGTAAAGTAGTGTGTGTTATCGAAATCAGTGTTAAGCAATCACTATCATCCTTAGCCCCACGGTGGGCATCAAACTGTTTACCCTCAAAATTAGATAACAATTAAACTTATAATGTGGATTTAAGAACATGTGATCTCACTTAATACCGATTGATAAATATGAAGATTAAAGATAGAATTATACAATAAAGTAAATCAAACCAGTATTTGAGTAGCACTCAACCCTTGAGTTAAAGTATCCTCGAACTGATTGATGCAAGGACAATAAAAACACAATAAGCTGAAGAACAAGAGCGTGAGCGAGGAAGAGAATTATATTGCTTTCTTATCAGTCGTGGCTACAAATGGTTAGAACTCCTCTTTATATAGTAGAAGAATTCTATATATGGTACAATTCTAATTACAGAAGGAAATCCCATGATTAACTAAACAACCGTTCTTGATTCGATCCGTTCCGAGATTTCCGCCATGATCTTCGACCGGTCGCGGATATCTCGCTTTTCCGTTATTACGCAATTTTCGGTATTGCTCGATACCTGTCTCGTTCGGTCTCGATCTTGGCAGGTGCCTCGAATCCCGATCTCGGTACCTTGTCTTCGTGCCTCGATCTGATCTAATTCGGAGTCGTCCTTCGATGCAAATCTCGGTCTCGGTCAAACAGTAAAATCGGGCAGGTCCGATTTTAACCGTATACATTCTACTTATTCTTAATCTTTTGTAGATAAAAGTAAAAGAGAAATATGAACTAAATCAATAAATAGAAGTATGTGATAATGTTCATCCCTCCGTTAGTTTTCTGTCAAGAAGCTAACGGCATCAAACATAAAATGTGCCGTGCACGTGACATATCCCTACAAATCCACCAATGTTGAAAAGGGAAGATGTAATATATATATATATATATATATATATATATATATTTGTTTTGTTGAGAAATATATATCTTTTAGCCACTCCCAAAATAATAGCCGACAAAATATATATTTTGCATATATATATATATATACATAAAATATACATATTTTGTATACTTTTTGGTTGCCGACTAGCCAATTTTGTATTTTGCTCAAATTTGTTTGGACATTTATGTCATCAGCATATTGGAACACATAAGTGGAGATATGCATATGAGCTGAATTTTTATTTACTGCAACTCATGAGCAGACAATGTATTGATTTGATATTGAGAGGTTAAGCATGTGCTGAATTTTTATTTACGTCAGCTCGCACTGCAACAGAGTTGGTGCTTCTGTGGAATAGTCATGTGCTTCTGGTTGAACTCGTTATAACAGAAAACTAACAGAAGGGTGTAATTTCTCATTTTTGGGATAGTTTAGGGATGTGCTTTGCTCATTGTGATAGTACAAGGATGTAGTTTAAGTCTTGGGTATAGCTGAGGGATATTTCTGGCCATTTTCTCTAGATTATTTTTATTATTTAAACGTGTGAGATGTTGCTTTTTCTTCTTGCCTTTTGTCTGTGAACTCAAAAGTGAAGTACAAGCAACTAATTATCTTCTCGTCATTCCAACTGAAAAAACCAGTGTACTTTTGACTTACTAACATGGAACCTGCAGTGTTTTGGCACACCTGCTTAACAATTTGTATCTTCTTTTCTGGTTTCATGGTGTCATGTCATCAAACAGAAAATCCAAACCAAGTTTCATTGTCAAGCAATTTCTTGTTTGGAACGGCCTCTTCATATTACCAGGTTCTTCTCACAGTTCTTTCCCCTTTATGTTTTTACCTTTTCCCGATATTCTTGTTTTTAACCGCTCTTCTTTCTTCTTTCTTTTTTTCCCGCAGTATGAAGGAGCTTTCCTCAGTGATGGGAAAGGCCTCAGCAACTGGGACGTTTTTACTCATGAAGCTGGTGAGCTTTCAGAATGCCAATTTCTTTCAATGTTTGCAACAAGAATTCTATTTACTGTGTTTTTAGGCTACCAAATCAAGCAACTCATGGGTAAATAGAGAAAAGGAACTCATGTAGTTTATTATTTTGGTCTTGTTGCAGGTCATGTTAAGGATGGAAGCAATGGAGATGTTGCTGTTGATCACTACCATCGTTATTTGGTAATGCTCAGCCTTTTTTTGTTTTTTTTAAATGCTTCAAAAATTAAGTAATTTCTGAAAATACAGAACCCGTAGGCCCCTTAGTCAGGGATTACTGGCTTCTTAGCATTTTAAGGGCATTTCAGAAGGCTAACATTTTCTTGGATGTTTATCTCGAATTCTTAACTACCACATTGAATATTTCCTTTTCTTTCTTGAATCATATGCTGCTTGTTTTAGCTTTTTGTCCTCATCTTAGACTAAGAACGCCTTTCCATATATTTTAATCTTTCTCTTTCCTAAAATATAAACAAGTTTATTCTATACTAGACCCTACTTCACGTGAAATTAGAAATAAAGAATGATTTCAGCAGGAATTTATTTGTTTGATTAATATCTTTTTTCTTTCTCTAAATATTCATTTGGTTCTTTCCTTGTAAGGTAGTGTGTGTTATAGGGCTT